TATTAAAGCACCTTTTTAAGAGAGAAAAAATGCATAAACCCACACAAACACTTCCTGAATTTGAATGGAAACCAGTTATCAGAATAAAATTCCACTATCTTTGCAAATAGATATTCTCTTCATTATTTTTGATACATGTATTAACCAGAAGTCTCTGTAGAGACTGTAGCTCTACTGGTTTGTACTTATCAACCAGAAGTCTCTGTCGAGACTGAAGCTCTACTGGTTTGTACTTATAGCAAAGGAAGAGGAAAGTACTTCAGCAGTTGGGAATTGAAACTTTACACTAGCAAAAAAGAGAATAATGATCCTTGAATAAGTTTCTTTATGTTCTTAGTGTAGTCTACTTGCATGCCACATTATATTATAATCAGACTAAAACTGTATTTGAAGTAGCATTTTGAGAGTAACAGAAATTGCTATCTTTATTAACCAAGGTAATAATGTTCATTGAAGTCAAAAACGGATATAAAGAATTATGTACCTTAGTGTAGTCTACTTGTGTGCCAAGTTATATTGAAATCAGACCAAAACTGTAAGAGGAGTAGCATTTTGAAAGAATTTCACAGAAATTTCTATTTTTAGTAACAACGCCTACACCATTCGTCAAAATCAAAAACCGATACACAGAATTATGTATCTTAGTGTAGTCTACTTGTGTGCCAAGTTTAATATATTGAAATCAGACCAAAACTGTAGGAGGAGTAGCATTTTGAAAGAATTTCATAGAAATTTCTATTTTTAGTAACAACGCCAACACCGTTCGTCGAAATCAAAAACCGATACACAGAATTATGTATCTTAGAGTAGTCTACTTGTGCGCCAAGTTATATTGAAATCAGACCAAAACTGTAGGAGGAGTAGCATTTTGAAAGAATTTCACAGAAATTTCTATTTTTAGTAACAACGCCAAGACCGTTCGTCGAAATCAAACACCGATATACAGAATTATGTATCTTATTGTAGTCTACTTGTGTGCCAAGTTTAATATATTGAAATCAGACCAAAACTGTAGGAGTAGCATTTTGAAAGAATTTCACAGAAATTTCTATTTTTAGTAACAACGCTAACACTGTTCGTCGAAATCAAAAATCGATATATAGAATTATGTACCTTAGTGTAGTCTACTTGTGTGCCAAGTAATATTGAAATCAGACAAAACTGTAGGAGGAGTAGCATTTTGAAAGAATTTCACAGAAATTTCTATTTTTAGTAACAACGCCAACACCGTTCGTGGAAATCAAAGACCTATACACAGAATTATGTATCTTAGTGTAGTCTACTTGTGTGCCAAGTTATACTGAAATCAGACCAAAACTGTAGGAGGAGTAGCATTTTGAAAGAATTTCACAGAAATTTCTATTTTTAGTTACAACGCCAACACCGTTCGTCAAAATCAAAATCCGATACACAGAATTATGTATCTTAGTGTAGTCTACTTATATGCCAAGTTATATTGAAATCAGATCAAAACTGTAGGAGGAGTAGCATTTTGAAAAATTGTTTACAGACAGACAGACAGACAGACGGACAGACGGACGGACGCCGGACGCATTACTATCGCATAAGCTCTTCTGGTCTCTGATTAGTAGAGCTAAAAACCATTGCACTATTTTATGTATTTTTGTGTAGTCTACTTGTGTGCCAACTTATTTTGAAATCAAACTAAAACTGTAGAAGGAGTAGCGTTTTAAAGGAATTTCACAGAAAATTCTATTTTTAGTAACCATGGCAACACCGTTCATCGAAATCAAAAACCGATGCACTATTCTCTGTATCTTAGTGTAGTCTACTTGTGTGCCAACTTATATTGAAATCAGACCAAAACTGTAGAAGGAGTAGCGTTTTAAAGGAATTTCACAGAAAATTCTATTTTTAGTAACCATGGCAACACCGTTCATCGAAATCAAAAACTGATGCACTATTCTATGTATCTTAGTGTAGTCTACTTGTGTGCCAAGTTATATTGAAATCAGACCAAAACTGTAGAAGGAGTAGCGTTTTTAAGGAATTTCACAGAAAATTCTATTTTTAGTAACCATGGCAACACCGTTCATCGAAATTAAAAACCCATGCACTATTCTATGTATCTTAGTGTAGTCTACTTGTGTGCCAAGTTATATTGAAATCAGACTAAAATTGTAGGAGGAGTAGCGTTTTGAAAAATTGTTTACAGACAGACGGACAGACAGACAGACGGACGGACGCCGGACGCATTACTATCGCATAAGCTCTTCTGGTCTCTGACCAGTAGAGCTAAAAACATGATAATGAAAAAATAAATAAAATGCATGAGAATAGTCATTAAAACAAGTGATTCATGGATGCTGCATCAAGGGGGACAACTGCTACTGTGAGACAAAAACCCACATATGTGGAAAAAGAATTTGACATTTATACCCTTATTACAATGGTTGATCTCCGAGAGATGTGAGTATTCTTTTTCCATCTAATCATGCCAGCAAAGTGATTTATTCTATTATCAACTCACTTCATTAACGTCAACTGTACGTCTTCACGTGCCGGAAATGTCCCTGTATAAAAATGTAATTAGAACATGAGAAACGGTGAGAAATTGAGTTGTCATCCATTCATAATTGTAAATACATGTACACATGTATAAAGAATTAATAATGTTCTAGTTGATATATATATTAATTAAATCTAGAGGTCTACTTTACCGGTTCTCCTGCTAGGCACCTCAAACACTCTGATTGGTTATTGTTATTATTGAGGCCCTGCAGAGGAAAACTGTTGATGGGAAAGTTGAGTTTATTGCTCCCTGTGTGTGGCCTCTGAGATTCTGCCTGCAAAGGAAGCATAATAGTATTTTTAATTCCAACAAAAACATTTTTATGACTTATGGGCCTAACATAAACCATTAAATCATAATTTTCATATTAAAAATTTAAATTTCTTTACTATATCATTCAACAAAATCATTTACGGGGTATACTTGAACTCCACTTACCCAGGAGTAAGTGAAAAAAATGTTCTTTAATTTCTTATCACATAATTCAGCAACATTTTACATGAAAGGGAGGAAAGTTCCTACTATTCATTTTTAGCGAGACAGCTGGCTAGAGCTCTTTACTTGAGGTTTACTGTTTCAATTATAACCAACTTCATTCTAGACTTTAAGATTTTAGCCTCTCATGCATATAAGTCTCCATGGTTTTGACCCCTTCAAGAGGTTTATAGAGAAACTGTTTCAGCCATCTCCATTCTATACAGAAGTAGATTGATTGATAGTATTTACTATTTTGTTTTACATCTCAACTTCCATTTGAGAATTTTTCACTCCCAACAGAGTGTTGCTACAAATATTGACCTTTTCTTGACACTCGGGGCCATTGAGCAGTGAGGGATCTTTATCATGCAAAGCAGCAAAAGCCTGCAGTGACACTGGGCCTCACTTTTAAAGGTTTCACTCAAAAGACCCACAACTTTCACTTCAAAGAGCAGAGTGCATTGTGAAGGAACAGTTCATTTAAACTATTTTTTATTGACTTAGGTTAGTTGCCTCTGAGATTTGAACCAACGACCTTTCAATATCAGATAGGGGTAACACGAATCACCGGAATGCCCCGTAATCACTGAAATGCCCCTAAAAATCACCGAAATGCCCAACAAAACCACCGAAATGCCCTTACATATGTTTTTACATGATGTTTTTCATAAAAATTAATGCTAATTTTTTTCAGTAAGGCATAACTGACGGTAAAATTAATTATTTTCATATTTTGTGCTCGAAGCGTATCGTACTTCAAAGGGCGATAACTCGTATTTGGTGATGACCTAGGAAGTGAAGTCTACAATGTTTAAAATCTAAGAAATAATAATGTCTTATGATATTTCTCGGAGAAAATTAGATGACAAATGATAACTATGATAAAAGAAAAAAATTTGACTTTCTTCTTTCTTCCTTTTCTTCCAACTTTTTGCATTGTGAACCAGGTTGTAACATTTATTCGTCTGCAGACGCCTGCTGGGGGAAAATAGGCGTAGCGTTAAAATATATAATTATACCTGCCATTATTCATTGAGTAAATTTATCTTTTATTGTATATATTTACTTTTACAGACCATAAAGTTAACGTTTTACCAAACAAAACGAGAGAGGGGGTACCGGTACACCAAATTTCCGTGATAGTTTACGACCGCGATGTAAGAATTTCAAAGGACAAATGCAGTCATAAAATGAAAAAAGGTTTTAAACTTTGTACTTCGTTAAGGCCATGTAAATATTACTATTTCTATTAATGATTTTTTTATTCTGTTACTTGATTAGATACATTGTCAGTCAGGTCAAGCATGGTACGGAACATTTCCCTTGTAAATTAGCAAATCTTTTCAAAGTAGCAATTGTTTCATAAAACGATGTAGGTGTATTCAACCCATTCAACAACTTAAAAAAAATATATAGTAAAATTGTCAAATTTTAATATTTCTATTGAATCAAATGTAGTTCATTATCCCAGGATACCCATGTCAATGTTTGTATAGCGCACGTGCGTAATTTCGATCAAAATGTAATATGACATAATACTACACACCTGTCAATAGATCAATTACTTAATTAATCCCAGTGAGATTAGCTGTCCGTGTATACACAGTAAACATAATTTCAGATATCCATTTGTTTCAGACAAATTAAACATAATAAATCAAATTAATTTTGTCTCATTTTTTAATCATTGATACTAGTAAAAAAAAAAAAAAATGAAACTTAAAAAAAATATTATTTCATAAACACAAAAACGAAACAAAACTATAATTTTGATAAATTTTGTTATTTTCTTTAAACATTGCAGTTGTTTTCTTTGCTAGTTACCAGAGGATCAAATATTCTTTAGGATTCATTCATACAAATTGAATAGAATTCCAAAAAGACAATCACAGTATTCAAGCATTGATTCTATTTTATGCAGCTGTTACTGTACTGATGAGAAGTGAGAGATCCAATCAATTAATAGTCCCATTTTCATATCAGATAACAATGAAATTTTATTAAATTCATACATGGTAAATATTTTTTTAATTAAACTAAACGTAAAAAAGATCTTTCTATTTGCTTTAAAACTTAATATAAAGATAGGACTTTCCAGTAAAATTACACTAGTGTACTCCGTTTTTAGAAATCAAGAATATATGTAAATAATATTACAAACAAAATTCGAATTGATATGAAAAATATGACTTATTATTCAGAATATATTTAAAACAGAAAAAAGGGAAAAATTAAAAATAAGACTATTTTGGCACGTGCCTTTAATCAGTGAGAGTTATCTTTCTTAGATACTATAACATGCACAATCCTCTGTTCAAATAAAATACTTACGTTAAAATTATGACATTTTTATTCGGTATCTAGGCTCTAGAACAATTGACATGATTAAAGTCATCAATATTTATTAATTTTTTGTTTATATATAACAAAATAAGGGGCATTTCGGTGGCATTTCGGTGATTTCTTGGGGCATTTCGGTGATTACGGGGCATTTCGGTGATTCATAGTACCGAGATAGCAAGTGTTCTTATACACGTTACCGACTGAGCTACTGTGACGTAGTGTACGGAGGTAGAGAATTTTACCTGAGGTACCTGAGGTGTGACTTCCATTTCTTCTGTCACTTGAGATTCTCTCTGTGTTAACAAATGTAACATCTGCTGCCTCTCGAGAATATACATGCATTGCTTTTTCTGTCAAACAAAAAAGATAATGGGTTAAAGAAACTATTAAATTTCCCATTTGTAAAAAAAAATCTTGCATATGAATGGAATTGCTCCTGGGTTGTTTTATATTTCATTTAAAAATTGGCTGGCTATGGTAATCTTCGGATACCACGGGTGCACCACAGGTGCTCCATTATTTAAAAAAAAAAACCATCATCGTATGCTAACAGCTTAACTCTCTTTTCTTAAAAATGCCTTTTAATGTACCTTCAAAGATCCGTCAAAGCCTTCAATGGTAAATTTGCGTTTAGTAGACATGTCGTGTAATATCATTGATCAATGAAAATACAACAGCATGTTTTACTTCAGATTTGATCAATTTGAAAATTTTGGCATGGGTTTCTCTTTCCTCTTTCTGTTTGTAAATATTTTTCTAATATTCAAGTTTTACAAAACTGTAATTTCCGGATTTCGTTCGGAATATTATATCATCTCATGTTCTGATAGATTTTTAAAATGTTTTCTCAGATTAATATTGTTTCGCTTATTAATTATGTCGTTTTCATAATTTCAATTAACTTTTGGAGTTTTCATGAAATCCAAAATAGCTCTTTTCGAATATGTTCTGGATCGGGTTAACCATTTTTGTTATCACGTTCGAATTATCTCTATTTTCACTAATGGACAAGGCAACACACAAACAAATGCGGTGATTTGTTTGTATATAGATTTTTTGACTGTCAATACAAAAAAAAACTGTATGTTTAAAGCTGTGATCATATGTATTCATCCACTACATGAAATATTTTATACAAATATGCAAATACAAATATTTATTGGTCAATTTAGTGTAAACAGGTAAACGCAATATTGGTAAAAGTTCGTCATATAAGAACCATCAATATTGTTCATTCATTTATACAACAGTCTAGAATGTGAGGCTATGCATAAGTCATACAATCATTTGTAAATAATTATGTAATACAATCATCTCTTAGAAATAATCAGGGACCTATATAGTATATAGGTCCCTGAAATAATCAAATATGACATTTCTATATGGTAATATTAAAAATCAGATAATTACGCATTAAAATATTATTATATAATAAAATACATAGGATAGACTTTACTTTAACGGTCCCCAGATTCGCAAGATCCTTGCGCTGATTGGACTATGACGTAACATTTACATCACTTAAGGTAGTACATTGATACTCTATATAACTCTTAATGACACAAATGTCTATTATTCCTTTATAAATTTGTCAAGTTTAAGTGCCTTTTTTGTCAAATTTTGCCCCGCAAGCCATGCTATAATTGTTTGTATTTTATTCAGCATATACATTTCCTTTGGAAAATCATAAAAGTTAAAAAAAAAATCATATGAGTGAGCAGAGGGTTTATGAACCTTAACTGATAAGTATGGCACCCCAAATTCACAAAAATGAGCTAAACCTAGTTTCACAATTGATAAACTAGGTTTATTGACTGTAAACTATAGTTTACAAACCATGAACTATAGTTAACAATTTGTTAACTATAGTTTTCATCTGTAAAACTATATTTAACGGTTGTTAACTATAGTTTACGAATGATAATTTAAGTTTATCTGTCTGAAATAAAACGTTAACAATATAGATTTTTTTGATAAACATAGATTCACGTCTGTAAACTATAATTTACGATCGTTAACTATCATTAAGAGTTGTAAACCATAGTTTACAAATTGTGAAACTGTATTTATCAGATAATCTATGTTTTGCAATCGCAAATGATTGTTTTTGGTGTTAAGTATAGTTTACGGTTGTGAAACATAGATTATCGTGTTAACTATGGTTTACAAATGTAAAATATAGATTAACGTTGTTAACTATAGTTTACAGTCCGTAAACTATAGTTTACAACCGATAAACCTAGTTTATTGACTGTGAAACTAATATATGTTTTGCTCATTTATGTGAATTTGGCGTGCCATAGATAAGGGTTAAATTTGCACCTATTCGACTGATCAGGGTTTAGTCTTATATAAACACCCACTTGAGAGATTAGGGTCATTCCTTGCACAATTATACAACTGACTATGGTTAGTCTCGCATCTTTCCGAGAGATTAAGGTTAGTCCTTGCACATTATTCGACTGATTAGGGTTAGTCTAGCGTAAAGTTTGAATACGAGTTTTTTTTGCCTTTTGATCCCAAAATTGAATTCTATGGTTAAAAGTTTAGTTTTAGAAACTTTTTATTTTTCAAAGACCGTAGTCAATGATAATTCAGCTTCATCGGCATTTTGTTCGTTTGTTTACATGGAAGAATGACTTAGTCCGAAAGAAATGACACTAAGCATGCGCCACTCGTGCTTCATTCAGAATGATTCTTTATCGATTCTTTCCATGAATAAACAATATTTAATATTAATTTTTTCAGAGAACAAGGTTAAAAACGAAGTTTTAAACTAAATTTTTAACCGTAGAATTCAATTTTGGGATGAAAAGGCCAAAAAAACTTGTATTTAAATTTTTTTTCGATGGCTCACATGATCTCATATATACTGAAGTCACCTACATTTTAACAAGTTTTTCTTGGGATCGGTAAAGTAAAGTCGTTCCGATACATGTATGATGTTTGTACCGGTTCATGATGCAAGCAACAATAGCAATCATTGTATTTTAGAAATTACAGCGACACATGGAAAGCAATGTACAGCTCAAAACATGTTTGTCTCCAAAAGTTCATTTTTTAATCACAAAAGCTGGAGGAAATAAAGATGATTTGAAAATTGTGGGGTCTTCTTGCTGCATTACACCAGACGGCTTTATTATTTGGGAAGAAGCTTGCATTTGCCTACCAGGTAAGTTTAATATATATCAGAAAATAGAAAATTGTGGCTTGATTGAATCAAACCAGAGATATGTGCATTAAAGGTGTTTTTATAGAGGTCGAAGTGTAATTAATAATCTAAACATGGAAGTTGTAGCTAGTTGATAGTTAAAACTGGATGGACTTGAATCCAGTCCTCCTCTTTACATTAAAATATATTAATCTATTCAAGCTTTTAAAATCTAAAATTCTAAAAAAAAAATTCCCTGGCCTTGGGTTGGCAAAAGATATAACAGATAATAGATTCATGTCAGTCAGATGAATAGGACTTGTACAGAAAAGTCATAAATTAATGTGGATATTGTAATAAATGTACTGTACACATACTTTTTTCTACGGGGTCATAATGTTGCGGAATCTCAATTTCTGTTAAATCTGCAGGTAGAAAATTACGAAGATTTCTTAGACTGTCACTTTATGCCTTACATTTATATTAAGTACGCTTGGACAAATTTCCGCAGAAAATTTGTGACCACGTATATAGCGTAAATTTATACCACACGGAAAAAAAAGTACTTCTACAGTATCTGAATTACTCCTACTACGTATACAAAGAATATACATTCAAATCTCATTATCTCAAATTTGCTATGACTGTCCTCATGAAAACAATTTAAAATGTCCAAAAATCTGAGATATCCAGCCCAGGGTAAAAGAAATGAATGATTGGGACTTGCAAATCATTTTGATATATCCATGATATTCCAGCAATCAGCTGTTCAAGATAACCAAAAGTTAAAAAAAAAACATTTGAAGTGTAAATCCTCATTCTCCCGCATTATTTTTTTTTCTTAAATATATTTTACTCCTTATTATATCAGTTTATCTTCAGGGAATTGTCAATGGAAAACCTACTGGTATGTCAATATCCCAAGAAACAAATACATGTAACTTTTAAAATCAAAGTTCAATGGCTTATGACTATATAACTCAGTTGTTAGAGAACCTGTCCAGAGGTTCAGGGACCCATGGTCTGACCTGGTCTGTTGTACAGCAAAACTTGTGTAATACGAACACGGATATTGCGAATTTACAGATAAAGCAAAGTTATCTTGAATACCCAGCTGTTTAAATTTAAAGAATTTCTTACACTGATATAACGAATTACGGATATAGCGAAGTAATTTCACAGGTCCCATTATAATGGGATCGTTATATCCAAATTTTACTGTACTTTCATTTGTAATGAGATTGGGTCCATGAAACATATGGAGAAAACAAACAGTATTCAAGTCCTTAAAACAATACAAAATAGGAGCAGAGCAAACACGCACCTCCCAAACATCAGAGATGGGATCAGATTTCATGTATTTTGGTATAGATCCATATATAACTGTTGATTGGCAAATAATCACAATGATTTTAATTTCACTATGTTCACAATTCATCATTTTTCTGCGAAATTAAATCTATTGTGAATGCTATCATCCTAAACGAACCTATCAA